TCTCAATGGCTGTAAGAATGCAGCCAGAGAGAAGGAGAAATGATTGCTTTTACATTCTATATGGGTGTAAAAGCAAACAGTGTAAAAAAAAAAAAAAAATCTTCATCACCCCCCACAAGTAGTACAGTGTCACCATGATGACACTGTACTGCTAGGGTGACAGTATGTAAAAAAAAAAAAACCCCATAAATAATATAAAAAAATAAAATAAAAATTAAAAAACATTTTTAAAAAATGATAATTTTTGGTTATAAACTAATTTGGCTTTTTTTTTTTTTACTAAAAAATATAACGGAATACATTTTGGCCACGATTTATGATGAAAGATTATTTATTTGCAAAATTTTATAAGAAAAACACTTTAAAAATTTTTTTGGACTTTTTCATTTACATAGCAAAAATAATAAAAATCCCAGCGGTGAATAAATACCACCAAAATAAAGCTTTATCTGTCTCAAAAAAATGGTAAAAAATTCATATGGGTACAGTATTGCATGACCGCGCAATTGTCAAAGTGTGATAGCGCTGAAAGCTGAAAATTGCCTTGGACAGGAAGGGGGTAAAAGTGTCCGGACAGGAAGTGGTTAATAAACACCTCTTCCTCAGATGTTCAGACCTCAGATATAAGAGAACAGAAAACTCATGGTGCAGTACCTTAAAAATCTTATTTATTAAAAACTCACTGCACTTACACATATTGGTATCCCAGCCGACACCAGCAAACAAAGCGTGATACCAATCAGTAAAACGAACCCAGCCTCTTCCCGCATGTGCAGACACTGACAGCTCGGGATTGTAATGACGTCACATCCACAGGCTCCTCCCTACGCGTTTCGTCATCGACGTCCTCACGATGTAATGCATGTTGCTTCTGGGTTCCTACTAGGTAGCGGTCTCCCCTCTACCCAGCAGCATAGCTGCTCCAGATTCTGCCAGCTCAAATTGTGATAAATTCCCCCCCCCCCATGTTGCAAACCACACATGAATAAAACCAGTCAGTCTAAGGTTGATATATGTTTATTGTCACTAATTCAATAGATTAATACAAGCCATAATTCTGTGGTCTGTGGGCACTAACAGCTGGCCCAGACCTTCACAGTTTACAAAGCACAAAAAAAGCAGCAACACACACTAGATGGGGCCGGAATGAAGGGCAATCCAAGAATTGTACCAGAGCTGAAGGACTCACCTACGCCGCCTTGCACCTTAGGACTTTACAGGTACCTCACATACACAAACACATATGCAGGATCAAAGCACTTTTATATATTAGTTCCAGTTTACATCCAGTGACATCGCACAGCCCTCTCCCATAGTTGGCAAACAGCTCACACCTATCGACCTCGATGTGTTTCATTCTCACCTCCCCGGCTATTACATCTACCACCACGCATTAATACTTGGGTTCATTTTAGTGTACTTTGTCCATCCTTGCTGGGCTGCTTGTTGAAATCTATTAATCTCAGCCAGTGACTGTTGGTCTTATCTTTCAAAGAATCTGTTAAAAAAATTTGTTCGTGATCAATCGTCAATCTCCCTCTTACTGCCATGGGAAGAAGACAAAGAATCTGATGTGTGTTAATAGATCAAAAGAAGATATATTCCTTAACCCCTTCCCTTCCAGTTCTTTAGGAAACGTGTTCTACAGCAAGATTCCCTAATCACATGATCACTGGCATTAGCTATCACAAGGATCACATGATCAGGAACCTATGCTAGCAGCTCCTGATTGTCACTGTGTGACCAGATGTTGTGACAGCGCAGTCACACGACTGAGCGTGCTCTTGGAACAAAACAGCAATGCATGTGTGGAAGCACAGACTAAGGGCCAGTTCACACTAGATGCAGTTCAGTGCGCTTTTTTTCTGCACCAAAAATGAATGCACAGTGTTTTCCATGTATTCCAATGGCCCTGGTTCGCACTAGTGCAGAAAAAAATGTAGAAACATGCTGCATTTTTTTTCTGCACAGAACCATACTGGAACATAGCAAACTGCATCAAACTGCACCGGAACTGCGTGTGGTGTGAACTGTGAGCAAAAACGTATCCGGAATGCATTTTTGTTGTGTAAACTGGCCCTAAAGCCAACTTCTGTGCTGCTACATAAAAGCATAGAAAGGGATTCTAGCAAACACTGCAAAAAAAAAAAAAGTAAGCAGGACCTACAAAACAAGAGGCTATATTTGTATATATTTGTAAGGATCAGGTTAGTATAAAGATTCTTCTTTTTCAGGTCCTGCTTATGTCCATCTTTTTGACCCAGATACAAGGTCGCTGTAGGATTCATTGATAAATAAGACCCACAGTTTTCTGATCTATCCACCACTAAATCTACCTTTTGCAAAAAAATAAATAAAAAAAGGGAGCATTAATTTTTTATGCAAATGAGCCTGCAACCATATACAGTGGATCAGCCTTTTTTAACCAGGGTGCCCAGGCACGCTGGGGTGCCTTGAGGTTTCTTCAGGGGTGCCTTGGCAAAATGTCTACAAATTGCCCAAAACTTGTATACAAGCCAGCGGGTAGAACAAGCCTGCCTTTTAGTTACACAGAGCCACAGGTTTTCATTGTGCACTATTACCACCTTCTAGCCGTCGGCGTCCTGACAACCAATGATATCATCATTTGATAGGCAGGATGTCAGCTGCCTGCACAGCATCCTAGTGTGACCCTCCCCCGCCCCTCTCCATCAGTGCTGGGGTCACATTAGATCAGTGATGGATAAAAACTGAGGGAGAAGAGAAACACTGGAAAGAAACACTCAGTACCAGGGTGCAAAAGTGTAATTGCTTTGGAAGAACAATTCACCTCTAATGTTGGGTGTCCTACATGTGTGGATGTTGCTGCGTTATATAAAACTATTAGAAGAGTTTTCACATGTTAAAATGGGGTGCTCTTTTAAAATCATGGACAGTCTTGAGGCACCCCATTTTAGAATAGGGTGCCTCGGGACTGTCCATAATTTTAAAGGGTGCCTCGGGACTGTCCATAATTTTAAAGGGTGCCTCGGGACTGTCCATAATTTTAAAGGGTGCCTCGGGACTGTGCATAATTTTAAAGGGTGCCTCGGGACTGTGCATAATTTTAAAGGGTGCCTCGGGACTGTGCATAATTTTAAAGGGTGCCTCGGGACTGTGCATAATTTTAAAGGGTGCCTCGGGACTGTGCATAATTTTAAAGGGTGGCTCGGGACTGTCCATAATTTTAAAGGGTGCCTCGGGACTGTCCATAATTTTAAAGGGTGCCTCGGGACTGTCCATAATTTTAAAGGGTGCCTCGGGACTGTCCATAATTTTAAAGGGTGCCTCGGGACTGTCCATAATTTTAAAGGGTGCCTCGGGACTGTCCATAATTTTAAAGGGTGCCTCGGGACTGTCCATAATTTTAAAGGGTGCCTCGGGACTGTCCATAATTTTAAAGGGTGCCTCGGGACTGTCCATAATTTTAAAGGGTGCCTAGGGACTGTCCATAATTTTAAAGGGTGCCTCGGGACTGTCCATAATTTTAAAGGGTGCCTCGGGACTGTCCATAATTTTAAAGGGTGCCTCGGGACTGTCCATAATTTTAAAGGGTGCCTCGGGACTGTCCATAATTTTAAAGGGTGCCTCGGGACTGTCCATAACTTTAAAGGGTGCCTCGGGACTGTCCATAACTTTAAAGGGTGCCTCGGGACTGTCCATAACTTTAAAGGGTGCCTCGGGACTGTCCATAATTTTGAAGGGGGCCTCGGGACTGACCATAATTTTGAAGGGGGCCTCGGGACTCTCTCCATAATTTTGAAGGGTGCCTCGGGACTCTCCATAATTTTGAAGGGTGCCTCGGGACTGTCCATAATTTTGAAGGGTGCCTCAGGACTGTCCATAATTTTGAAGGGTGCCTTAACTGAAAAAAGGTTGAGAAACGCTGCAGTGGATCACAGATGCAACGCCAGGATCCTACTGACTCTTCCAAGCTCTATGTGTACACTGCGGTACGGACTGAGTTAGAGAACTGGAAGAAGTGTCAATAGTCTACGAGTGTGGTGTCTCTATTGGGGGTTACAAGTCCACCTGCTGCAGTGCAGATGGGACTTGTAGTTTATTCATCCACGGATCAACGTGAAGAATGACACCGATTTCAGATCTGACAGCTGCTCCGAGGAAGAACCACCCCCATACACTGTTAGAGCACAGGTGTAACGTGGAAAATGATCTTAAAGGTTTAGGTGGAGCTAGCCTTTAAATCAGACTCAGTGGAATTTTATTATTCTTGTAGGTTCAGTCCGTTAAAAAAACATCTATTTGAATGGTTGTCAGTGGTCAGATTCACCCACCTCTTTCATATCTCACTCAGGAAATCCAGTGAATTCCCAGCTCCTCTCATACGACACAGTCATTATAGGAGGGTATGACGCTATGCGGAGTTCTCATTTATTTCAAACAGGAAACGCACACGTCAGAGTGAAGACCCATTAGAACACGCCTGCCAGGAATTTTTATAGGGAGATCATGTTGCTGGGATTCCTGAGGGGTAAGACACCAGTGGTTGATTTGGCCACGCAGAGCCCATCCAAAATATATCAACTTTGGGTGAACTGTCCCTTTAACATTGGAGAAGCACTAAATACTAAGTCAGGAAAGTATTTCCCTAAGCGAACAAACATCAAGTAAGGGTACCCCCTGACAGAGGTGGTAGCAGCAGGTGCTAGGCAGAGGATGTCGGCGGAGGTGAGTGAGAGGCTTGGTAGGACGAGCAGCTCTGGACACCATACAAGTGGACTACAGATTACAATGTTAGTAGAGCAGTGTGGCATTGGCCAGCTGTGATGAACGGAGATAGTAAGCCGGCAGACAGAGCACAGCTAGGCAGACGCGGGAAATGGCAGTTACATAAATGTAGTGTTTACTGCAGCAGTACTGATAAAGAAAGCATGCTACACATGTCGGCGGGGAATGCCAGCCGTGGTGAAGGTGGGGTTAATTCTGACAGATGACGGGGAAGCGAAGGGAATTTCCAGGTATCAATCAAAAGAGATTAACTGGGCTTCGCTGCCCCCTGACACTTGCTGGCCGTGTGTTGCTTGTTGCTGTGGGGGCTGCTGCTGACCAGCACCTACTGCCATCTAAAAGAGAAGAGAGAAACAATTACTCCACAGCAGAGCAAAAACATGTACTGCACAAACCTGGTATATGCTTTCAAAGCTGAATCATGATGTAAGAATAACATTTCTTCCCTTTTTCTCCTCCTCCCCTGATCAACAAGCAATTAAGATTTTTCAATTAAATCATTTTGTTTTCAAGAAAAACCTCTTCTGAGAACCAGTAATATCATCACTGGGTCGGTCTGCTGGTCTTTGCTCCGCGTTTGATGGAACTGGCTAGCAGGCTCCTGTGAACGTCATAGCATTCGGCTTCAGGTCATTTTTCAAGAGTATTATATGAAAGAACACACCCTCTATATCCCTTTAGACAGGCATGCTCCTACATACGGCCCCACCTGGGTGCAGTGGACTTTAGCTGTGCATTCCGCTCATCAGTTGCTTGAGCAAGTATGTTTAAAGGGATGCTGGAGATGAGATTTTTTTCAAACAATGCTTGGGAACAAAATGATTGAGGGCAAAGAAAGCTAATAGCTGTTAGAGGGGAACAAAAACAGCACAAATCAGGAGCAGAGTGTACCTGAAGATGACTGAACTCATTCAGGCAGGCAATGAAGGCTGGCTCAAGATAGCTGCTGAATGTTCATGTTTATGAGGTGGAGATGGAAACCTATATATGCAGTATATCTCGGTAACACACATACATTTCCACATTTTATCACTTTAACCACTTACCCTCCTGAGGATTTACCCCCCTTTCATGACCAGGTCATTTTTTGTGTTACGGCGCTGCGTTACTTTAACTGACAATTCCGCGGTCATGCAACGCTGCACCCAAATGAAATTTACGTCCTGTTTTTCCTACAAATTGAGCTTTCTTTTGGTGGTATTTGATCACCTGTGTGGTTTTATTTTTTGAACTAGAAGCAAAAAAGACTGGCAATTTTAAGAAAAACACAATATTTTGGACTTTTTACTATTAAACATGTCCAGTAAAAATCAAATTGTGTCATAAATTTCGGCCAAAATGTATTCTGCGACATGTCTTTGCTAAAAAAAAAAAAATACCAATATGTGTAAATCAATTGGTTTACGTGAAAGTTATAGCGTTTACAAATGGCGGTGTAAATAATGGGATTTTTTTTCTTTCTACTGGTAATGATGGCGATCAGCGACTTTTAGCGGGACTGCAGCGGACATTCTGACAGTGGAGGGGAACTAACTTGGTGTCACTGACACCCCCAGTGACACCAATACAGTGATCAGCGCTAAAAAAAAAAAAAAAAAGCATTGACACTGTACTAATGACACTGGGCAGGAAAGGGTTAATGTGAGGGGTGATCAAAGGCTTAACTATGTGCTGGGAGTGTTTTACTAGGGGGCGGGGGGTGTGTTCTTCACTGTAAGCACACTGATCAGGATGGCTGTACTGTGCACAGCCATCCTGACCAGTGTGCTCGAACTGACAGGGAGGAAGATTGTTTGTAAACAAAACAGTCACCCCCACGTCGGAGATGCTCGGTAATCACTGGGCGCCGGCAGGTAATTACCGACCAGGACCCCCCGGTGATTGACATCCGCGGTAGCAAATGGCGGCACGGGTAGGCTGCGCGCGCCCCCTACCAGGAAATGCAGAATGACGTACATATACACGTGATCCTGCGTACAGGTGCCGCCCTGTAGCAGTTTATCTGCTATAGGGTGGTCCTAAAGCGGTTAAAGACCCTGCACTTAGCTCCTAATTTCTGCTTGTGGAATGACAACTCACGCCTTATTGTGGAATGAAACTGCAAGACTGTCTCATCCGTGCCCAGTTGTATGTGAATAAATTACTGAATCCTTCCCATTCTTCTCATCTCTGCAGCATAGAGACCAATTTCTCTATAGTGCAAAACAGGAACTGGGAGGACTCCTGAGATAACACAGGAAGTGTGTACAGGACAGCTCTGAATCTGAGAAGATCGACAGGTATATTTTTTTGCACCTACTGAACAGATTTAAAAAAAAAAAACAAAAAAAAAAACACATATACATAGATACACATCATGGTTTACCAGGGTTATGGCTGCAGCAGTATGTCTCCCCCCAAATTTCCCCCCCTTTCCCCACGCTTTTCAGTGAACCCAGATCTCTTCATGAAGAAGGCCTGTCATGCTTTATTGCTATCACAAAGGATGTTTACATTTCTTGTGATAGCAATAAAAGTGCTAAGAAATTAAAGGGACAGTGTTAAACAAGAAAAAAAAAGTAATAAAATAAAAAATGTGAACCTTCTGCGCTCATGCACAGTGGAGAAGGCATACATAGGTCACGCCCACATATGTAAACTGTGTTCGCACCACACATGAGGTATCCTCTGTAACTCTAAAATGGTAACCTGTATACATTTTTAAACCGTTGACTATGGAGATTTTTTTTTTAAGTACCGTAGTTTGGCGCCATTCCATGAGCGTGCACAATTTTAAAGCATAAAGACAAATCTATTTCCTCGGCATAACATAATTTTTCATATTTTACAAAAAAAATAAATTGGTTATATATTGTGTTTTTTGCATTAAAGTTCAATAAGGTTTATTTTTTTCAAAGAAAACTGCATTTGAAAAACTTCTGTGCAAATACTGCGTGACATAAAACAATGACTGACATTTTATTCTTTAGGGCCTCTGCTTAAAAAAAAAAAAAAAAAAAAAAAAAAAATGTATATAATTTTCGCAGCGCATAGCAATCAGGACACACACGCGCGCGCACGTGTGTGTGTATGCGTGAATAAATATATATATGAAAATTGGATTGCTGCACATAAAAAAACTTATTGTTGAAAAATCACCATACAAAAAAAAGAGTGATCCCAAAAAAAGATCACTCTTTTGTATGGTGATTTTTCAATAATAAAAGTTTTTTTATGTACAGCAATCCAATTTTCCAATAGCCTGATTGCTATGCATTGTGAAAGATCACCGTTGTGCACTCCACCTATATCACTGATTTTATATATATATATATATATATATATATATAAAAAGTGTGTCAGAATAGGTCTGGTCCTTAAGTGGTTAAACAAAACTCTTTCATGGAATAAGTAAGAAAAGGAAGCAAATAATAACGGTTAATTGTTCGGATTTACATATACTTTAATTCCAGTCAGCTCAACCCACGGTTTCATTTGAATTTCATACATCACCCATCCAAGACCCACTTACAGGGAAAGATCACATACCGGTTGGTACATCGGCTGTTGTCCAGGGTGGAAAGGTTGCTGAGAAGGCATGTTGGTCATTGCTGGGTCTTGTCCAGGAAGTGAAGAAATGAGGTTCTAAAAACAAATGCATAGAAATGTATGTCACAGAAATGGTTTCTTTTTTTTTTCTCTAATGAAGACCAAGAAGTGATTGCTCAGGTCTCGGTCTTAGAAGCAGCAGGGGACAGAGGCGGCAATCGCCTAGGTGAGTATGACTTTTTTTTTTTTTTTTTTTTTTTTAACTCCCAAACTTCTCTATTAACCGCATGCCGCCCAGCCACTGTACATATACGGCGGCAGGGCGGCACTCACAGGCAAAACCACATTTTAAAACGTATGTTTTGTAAACAAATAGGGGGCACGCTGCCGCCCTATTTGTCCTGTGGATCACCGCCGCAGATGTCAGTTGCCGGGTCACAGCCGCTCATTAGCGGCTATGTCCCGGCGATCGGTGGTAAACGGTGACAGAGAGCACAGCTGCAGTAGCTGTGCTGTCTGTCACTTCCCTGTCAGCTCGAGGATGAGCTGATCGAGAAAGAACAGTTTCACTTTCTCGGTCAGCCTTGTCCCGCCCAGTACACAACCCCGCCCCCTAGTAAAACACTCCCCTCACACAGATAACCCTTCCCTGCTAAATAAAGTTAACCCCTTCCTCCCCATTGCCATTAGTACAGTGTCAGTTTTTTTTTTTTTGCACTGATCACTGTATTAGTGTTTTTGGGGATGTCAGTGACCCCAAGTCAGTACCCCCCAATGTCAGAATGTCCGCCGCAGTCCCGCCATAAGTCGCTGGTCACTGCCATAAGTCCCTGATCGCTGCCATAATTCGCTGATTGCAGCCATTATTAGTATAAAAAAAACCCTAAAAATCCCAGTATCTTTCCCGCCATTTGTAAACGCTATAACTTTCACGTAAACCAATTAATTTACACGTATTGGGATTTTTTTTTTAGCAAAGACATGTCGCAGAATGCATTTTGGCAGAAATTTATGACTAAATTTGATTTTTGCATTTTTTTTTACTGGACATGTTTTATAGCAAAAAGTCCAAAATATTGTTTGTTTTTCCTCAAAATTGTCAGCCTTTTTTTTTTTTATAGCGCAAAAAATAAAAACTGCACAGGCGATCAAATACCACCGAAAGAAATCTCAATTTGTGGGGGAAAAAAGGATGTAAATTTCATTTATGTACCATATTGCATGACCGCGCAATTGTCCATAAAACTAGCGCAGCGCTGTATAGCAGAAAAATGGCGTAAATTGCAGTATCTATACCATAGTTTGTAGACGCTATAACTTCCACACAAAGCAATCAATATACTCTTATTGGGATTTTTTTTTACCAAAAACATTTAGCAGAATACATTTTGGCCTAAATTTATAACCAACTTTGAGTTTACTATATATTTTTTATAGCTGACAATAAAAAATATTGTTTTTCTTCAAAATTTTTGGCGTTTTTTTTGTTTATAGCGTGAAAAATAAAAAGCGCACAGGTGATCAAATTACACCGAAAGAAAGCTCTATTTGTGTGAAAAAAAGGACTCAAATTTTGTTTGGGTGCAGCATTACATGACCGCGCAATTATCAGTTGAATTAGTGCAGCGCCAAGTAGCAAAAAGAGGCGTGGTCATTAAGGGGGGTAAATCCTCAGGAGCTCAAGTGGTTAAGCTGTCTGTACATGAGGCAAATTAACCTTCCATTGCATTTTTATTCAAGGTTACAAAGAATTGAAGACATAACATATGTACAGTATAAAGCGGTTTCCTTCGACCATATGAAATTACCTGATCATAACACAGTGGAAAATCTTTCATTAACCCCTTGCCCTCCAGAGGATTTACCCCCCCTTCCTAACCAGGCCATTTTTTGCGATACGGCGCTGCGTTACTTTAAGCTCTTGACGCCGCCCGCATGAAAATGTGCGGCCTCCCGGCGTCTGGGCCTTGCTGCCGAGTGGCTGCACATTTGCATGCAGAAAGGTCCCGATCTCCTCTTGCTATGTCCTTTTTTCCCCACAAATTGAGCTTTCTTTTGGTGGTATTTGATCGCCTGTGCGTTTATTTTTTGCGCTATAGGAAAAAAAAAAAAAAAATTTTGGAAAAAAAAAAAAAGCAAAGACAATATTTGACTTTTTGCTATTAAACATGTCCAGAAAAAAAATAATAAAAAATCAAATATTGTCATACATTTACACCAAAATGTATTCTGCTACATGTCTTTGCTAAAAAAAATAATAAAAAAAAAAAAAAAAAAATCACAATATGTAAATTAATTAGTTTACGTGAAAGTTATAGCATTTACAAATAGGAGTATATATACTGGGATTTTTAATTTTTTTTATTAGTAATGGTGACAACAGTGACATAGCGGGACTGCAGCAGGCATTCTGACATTGGGGGGGAACTGACTCAATGTCACTGACATCCCCAGTGACACCAATACAGTGATCAGTGCTAAAAAAACAGAAAACTGTACTAATGGCACAGGAAAAGGTTGACATGAGGGTGACCAAAGGGTTAACTGTGTGCTAGCAGTATTTTACTAGGGGGCTGTGTCAGTGTGCTTCACTGTAATCACGCTGCTTTGGATGTCTGTGCTAAACAAAACAGCTCTCCCCATCGGAGATCCTCGGAAACCAACGGGCGCCGGCGAGTAATCACCGGCTGGGACCCAGTGATTGATAGCTGCGGTCGTGAATGGTGTTGCAAATGCCAGCGCGGGTAGGGCGCACGCCTCCTACCCAGAAATGCTAAATCACGTATATATACGTGATTTTGCGCACTGTGCCGCCCTGTAGCAGTATTTCTGCTATAGGGCGGCCGGGAAGCGGTTAAGGTAGGATTGTAATAAAATCCTATTTACAATGCATGCAAAAGATTTTTCCTTTTCAATTTTGTTAAAGTAGGGAAGAGTTACATCCAACGCCTATATTTTATTATTGCCTGTGTCCTTGCTGGGGAGAGTCCATCTTTCTTTGTCCTGGTGATTCTTGTCATAGCGATAGAGAGTGAAGGCAAATGCAAACATTTTGAGTTGTCATGAGATCCAGAGTTGGAGGGATTTTGTTCAATTTGGAGACACTTCCTCTCATTTGCTGTTCTGCCTTTAGGACAGGCCAAAAACATGATATGGGTTAAATTCGTTGTAAAGCCTGAAGGTTTTTTACCTTCATGCATTCTATGCATGAAGGTAAAAAACCTTCAGTATGCAGCACTGACCCCCCCCCTTCCCCCCGTATCCCACCCTAATACACAATTCAGCAAAGTGCACGAGAGCAACTGCTGTCCCGGCTCTCTGCCTCCTCACTGGCTCAGACACAGCAGGGGGAGAAATTGGCTCCCTCTGCTGTCAATCAGGATGGAGTGGGGGCCAAGCCCCGCTCTATGAGTCTTATGAACAAGCAGAGCGTGGCTCAGAAGCAAGCACACATGAGTTCCCCCATTGCAAGCAGCTTGCTATGAGGAAACTCAACAGGGGGGAGGAGCAAGGAGCACAAGCAGGGGAATCAAGGAGGATTGGGGCTGTTCTGATCAAAACCCTTGCACAGAGGTGGTAAGTATAACATCAATTTAACCCTTTCCTGTTCTAGTCAAAACGAAAAAAATGTTTTCTCTTTACATACACAGTTATGAATAGACCAATAGACATGCATTTACATAAAGCACCTTTTGACAGAGTTGTATCACAGTAAATGTAAGACAGGTAAAGTGTTACTAAACCCACAACAGTACAATCAGTCTGTAGATGCAGTAAAGCATGCCTGTTATACTCACTGTAGAACCTAAGGGGTTAATCCTCTGCATTGTGAAAAAGGCTGTTTGATCCTGACTTCTCTGATCCCCCCCTTCTTCCAGTGTTCCCTCTTATCTCCTTGGTGTGTATTGCTAGAGTGTTTTTTTTTTTTTCTTTTCTTGGGAGAGTGCATGTGTTCAGCATAGGGCCAATCAACACAGTCCAAACAGAGGTCAGGGAATCTGCATCCTCCTAGAGCAGAAAAAACTCCTTCCACAAGCTTTAACCAATGCTTGGCTGGACACTGATAGAAATCACTAGACTGCTCTAACTGCTGATGGGAAAAGGTATTTAGCAGTTTATATTTACTAAAATAATTGCACTTCCATGTTTTGTGTACAGTGGGAGACCAGATATAGTGAATGCAGGGTCCGGGGAGACCAGATATAGTGAATGCAGGGTCCTGGGAGACCAGATATAGTGAATGCAGGGTCCTGGGAGACCAGATATAGTGAATGCAGGGTCCGGGGAGACCGGATATAGTGAATGCAGGGTCCGGGGAGACCGGATATAGTGAATGCAGGGTCTGGGGAGACCAGATATAGTGAATGCAGGGTCCGGGGAGACGGATATAGTGAATGCAGGGTCCGGGGAGACCGGATATAGTGAATGCAGGGTCTGGGGGGGGGGGGGGGGGGTTGGGGGAGACCGGATATAGTGAATGCAAGGTCCGGGGAGACCGGATATAGTGAATGCAAGGTCCGGGGAGACCGGATATAGTGAATGCAAGGTCCGGGGAGACCGGATATAGTGAATGCAGGGTCCTGGGAGACCGGATATAGTGAATGCAGGGTCCGGGGAGACCAGATATAGTGAATGCAGGGTCCAGGGAGACCAGATATAGTGAATGCAGGGTCCAGGGAGACCAGATATAGTGAATGCAGGGTCCTGGGAGACCAGATATAGTGAATGCAGGGTCCGGGGGGGAGACCGGATGTAGTGAATGCAGGGTCCGGGGGGGAGACCGGATATAGTGAATGCAGGGTCCTGGGAGACCAGATATAGTGAATGCAGGGTCCTGGGAGACCAGATATAGTGAATGCAGGGTCCGGGGAGACCAGATATAGTGAATGCAGGGTCCGGGGGGGAGACCGGATATAGTGAATGCAGGGTCCTGGGTTTAGTAACACTTTAAAAATCATTGCTTTCATTTCTTTGCGTGGTATTCCCTGGATTAATAAGGAGCTCGGCAACCTTGGCAGAGCAAACAGGCAGAGAAGCTAAAAACAAAAATTCACTTTTACCTGTTCACTTTAATTGAACTAACCTGCATGTTATATGGCTGATAGCCCATGGGGACAGGCTGTGCACCCATGTAATTCATCCCGCTAGCAGGAGGATTCTGGGACATGGATGACAGGCTCTGGGAGGCCACATTCTTAAAAAGAAAAAGACAAAACACACACAACTTAAAACAGAACTATGGGCAAAATAAGACATTACATGTCTAGAACTAGCATTAATACAGCAGTTTTTGTTCCGGAGTTACCTCTATATCTGTTTATTACCTGTAGATCCTGCCAGTAGATTTTTTTTTCCTTTTCCTTTATCGGATGACATTCTGCAGTGAAATTGCACAGCAGAGTTGTCACCCTGCACACAGCATAGTCCTAGATGGACATCTAGTACTATATGGACGTAAGCAAGGCACAAATTAAAGCCCAACTCCATCCAAAAATGGGCAAAGTGGAATTGTCTACTTAAAGCCCGACTCCAGCCAATAAAGTGGGAACAGTTAAAATTTCTGTCAGGTTTTTATTGCTTCCTGTGACCCTGTTGCTGTGCTCTTCTTTCGCTTTCTGTACCATACAAAAAAAAAAAAAAAAAAAAAGGGATGTCATCACCAGTTTAGGATAGCACAGTCAGCAATAAAAACATGGTCCTCAGTTCTAACATTTCTCTACTCTACAATCCTAATCCCAGCTGAAGAGATTTACCACCATTTCCTGTCCTGATAGAGGAAAAATCTCCCTAACAGGGACAAAAACCTGAAAGAAATTAACCTTTCCATGCACTATCCAAAATAAAATATCTTTTGGCTTGAGCTGGCATAAAAAAAAAGAATTTCTATTCAACATCATCAGCTTGCAGTTTCAACATGTAAACTGCCTATCAAGCTGTAACAGAGCTTACCTGGTAGGGTTGTGTTGGCGTGGGCTGGTAGGACGTGTACGCAGGATTGGTAGTTGGCACTGGCTGCCCTTGCTGCGCTGCAGGAGCGGCTCCTGCTGGGTACATGTAGGCATTAACCATGCCAGGGTCTGTAACAAGACAATGTTGAGACCATTACAATAACAGCCTGCTTTATTAACACTGAGGCAGAGCCTGAAACATGTCACTGACCTGCACCAGGCATTGAGGTATAAGGCGCAGAGCCAGGCTGTCCTGGTTGATTCATGTACACCCCATGCATGGGAGAGCCCTCCACTGAGCCAGAAGGACTGAAGGTGCCTGGATAAGCATTGGGGCCGGAGGGTGGGTACATGACACCACCTGATGATGGCAAAGACTGCATCTATGAAAAAAAAAAAAAAAAATGAATAACAGGAACTTGAGTGTTAAAAAAAAGTATTCAGTACAGCTCTTCAAAACATGCACATTTTCCTAAATGTAAGTACAGAAAAAATACAAAAAAAAAGAAAAACTTATTGATGCAACAGAAATACAGTGCACTCATAACTTCACGTTTGGTATGTCAATACAAAGCTTTTGCTACTCCCAAACCCTGTCTGCTGGACTACAAAACTCCATCTATCCACCACCCTTCTTCTATGTCCCTCCCCAAACATACATTCATTCCTTTTCCTCCTTTTACCAGAAAAATAATCCCCGCTGCCTTAACTACCAAGAGTTTGCACATGCACTCAGTATATTGAAAGGGCTCCTGGCAAATGTAATTCTGGGGCTGTGCCTATGCCAGTAGGTACTGGGAGTCCCAGCAGCTGCCCCGCAAGAAAATCTTTAAAAGAGAAGTGTAGAAATTAAAAATAATAAATGTAAATTTATTTTTTTTAATTACTTATTTCAGGTACTTATATAGTGCTGTCAATTTACACAGCACTTTACATATATATCGTACATTCACATCAGTCCCTACCCCTCAAGGGGCGTACAATCTAAGGTCCCTAACTCACATTCATACATACACATACTAGGGCCAATTTAGACAGGAGCCAATTAACCAGCATGTCTTTGGAGTGTGGGAGGAAACCGGAGGACCCGGAGGAAACCCACGCAGTCACAGGGAGAACATGCAAACTCCAGGCAGGTGGTGCCGTGGTTGGGATTCGAACCGACGACCCTAGGCAGGCAGAAGTGCTAACTGTTTAGCCACTGTGCTGCCCACAGGTAGGTAAATACGCTCAGTTCTTGGGTCCGCTCTGAGCACAGATCAGTGACTGTAAATCATCTTTCTCTGCTCTGCCCCTCCAGCGCTCACTGGAGCACAGGGCTGGGGTGGGGATGGGAGCAGCTGGCTCAGTTTTGTCAGTGGTGCACTGAAAGGCTGAGCCAGCTGCTGGCCAAGAATCTGCGTGGATCCCGACTTTATTGGTCTTGATCCTCTGTGAGTCTGGAGTGGCTCTGTGATGTCACCCGACAGCGGGCTGATTCTGTGTCACAAGAGTGGAAAAGCAAGTGCACTTCTGTGACCCATATTCAGGGGCGTATTTACCACAAGGCAAACAAGGCATTTGCCTAGGGCGGCATTTTTTAGGAACATATGCAGCATGGGGACCAGGTGGGAACCGAGAGAGGCTGCGAGCTGTTTAATGGTGTGTGCAGAGCGTCTCTCTCTCTGTCGCCGGGGAGGGGGGGGGGGGGTGTTACTGGAAGGCTCTCTCAGGTGGGGGGGGGATAGGGCAGGGATGTTGTTGATTCAGTTTCTCTCCGTGGGGGGTTTGTGGTGTTGCTCTCTCTCTGCTGGGGAGGGAGGGGGACGTCCAATTTTTGTGTTGCCTAGGGGAGCACAAAACCTAAGTACACCACTGCCCATACGAGAAGGGGTCAATCGAGATTAGGCTATACTTCTCTCTTAGGCGAACTTCACATAGATGCAGTGCTATTAACCTGCTGGTTTCAGTGCAATTTCAAGGGGTAGTTGTTCAGCGACTCAGGGGCAATTCTGATGCGACTTGGCAGCGTTCTCAGTCAGTATCTCTCTCTCTCTCTATTCTGACATGGTTCAGGGATGGGAGATAAAAAAAAAACAAAAAAAGACTTGCAGAAAACGTAGTGGAATTGTGTGATCTTAGGACAGAGAAATGATTTCCATTCAATTCTACGTAGCTACAAATCACCCTGCACTAAACTCAACTGCATGTAAACGACAATGTGTACATGGACACATAGGAAAACATTAGGGAGAGTTCAGGGGCTGCTGGAAAATCCGCAGAAAAGCTCCTGAACGTCAGTTTATCAGCTGCAGTGTACATGGAGCCTAAGAGCTCTGGAAACAACGGGAACACACCTGTGCATAAGGCAGGGAGAAAGCTGGCATCTGGGCTCTCATCTGGATGGTCTGCTTCTGCTGCTCCAGTCGCATCTGCCTTTCCTTCTCCTGTTCCTGCAGGCGCTGGATGGCAAGCTGGCGCTGCATCTCCAAATATTCCTACAATAACAGGTATAACATGTAAGTCTTGCTCCATACAACCAGGGTGGATAAAAATCAATGATTTTCTTTAAAAAAAAAAAAAAAATCTGATTTTTTTTAATTCAATCGGATTTTTTTAAATAAAATGCTTTTTGAGGAAAATATATTACCATCCAAAGGTTATTCCATCATGAAATAAAGATTAGTTTTTTAATTATGTAGAATAAGGCTGCATATGTTTCATTTTTTTGGTACATAAATTCCATGAATCCATTCACAATGTCATGCTCTTCCAGAGGTTTTTGTAAGATTATTGGGCAGTTTCTCTGCCTACAAGATATTATCACAGATGATTGGTTTACTTTTGCAGTTCTCAAAACTGAATCTGACTCAGCGGAGATCGCATGCCTCTTCTTCACAGCAAAAATGTTATAACATGAACAGAGTTAAGAAAAAGACCTTCATCCTAACTTCTACAAACCTATGAATACAGAATCAACCCCTTCAGTGCTAAGTTTCAAGAAGTTCAGTGAATAGAATAGAAACAATATTTTTCTGATTGTTTGGAGTGGAATAGATCTGCACAAGAAGAAAGTGAAACTAAGTGTGAGGAGGAGGGGCTGACAGTCTACGTTTCTTCAAATATATATATTTTGTTTAACCAAATTAGTTACCAAACATGGATGTTTAAGCAAATCACATCTGCTGGAATGTTATTGTTTCAGATGAATAAATCTATTTAAATTGTTATTATTAAGGTAATGATTATTTTTCTCCTTCCTAAGTACAACAGGAACGTTGTCCAAATATGAATGATTAACCTATTAAACTGGGGATAAAAAAACTAATATGAAAAGTTGTTATTCTAAAAATCTTCATCTACTTGTATATTAAAGTTATACCAGCAAGGATTAGTCTTTATGTAGAAAACTAGGATTTAAATCAAGCTTTACTGACTAGTGATTTAAATCGTGATTTAAATCAGTTTGATTTAAATCAAATCCACCCTGCATACAACACATATAGAAACCCAGCGGCCATTGCGTCTTACCTGTTTCTTTTGCCTCATTATCTCCAGCTTCTGTGCCAACTGTATCTGCCGTTGCCTCTCAGCCTCCTCTGCAGCTCGTCGCAGCTTTTCTCTGTGCTCCTCGCGTAGTGCATTCAGAGCCCCACGGGCATCTCTGATCTGGGCCAGCTTGTCCTGAAGACCTTCATAATACACTGTGGAAAAACATGTTACGATGTTAGTGTAGCTCTTACACTTTATTTTGCTAGACAAACAGGCTGATATTGTCGACTCCAAGACATCTGTTGGTACATATGGGTGTAAATCCTAAATATCTAAAGTCAAATACCAAGCATACAGCCAATACAGCCATGGCCAAAAGGTTTTCAGAATGACACAAATATTAATTTTCACAAAGTCTGCCGCTTCAGTGTTTTTAGATCTTTTTGTCAGATGTTATGAAATGCTTGTAATTATATTTAGTAACTGTCAGAGGCTTTTAATGACAATTACATTAAGTTTATGCAAAGAGTCAGTATTTGCAGTATTGACCTCTCTCTTTCAAGACCTCTGCAATTCGCCCTGGCATGCTGTCAATCAACTTCTGGTCCACAACCAGACTGATGGCAGCCCATTCTTGCATAATCAATGTGTGGAGTTTGTCAGAATTTGTGGGGTTTTTTTTTTTTTTGTTCACCCGCCTCGAGGATTGACCACAAGTTCTCAATGGCATTAAAGTCTGGGTAGTTTCCTGGCCATGCACCCAAATGTTCGATGTTTTGTTCCCCAAGCCACTTAGTCATCACTTTTGCCTTATGGCAAGGTGCTCCATCATGCTGGAAAAGGCATTGTTCCTCACCAAACTGTTCTTGGATGGATGGGAGAAGTTGCTCTTGGAGGATGTTTTTGGACCATTCTTTATTCATGGTTGTTCTTATGCAAAATTGTGAGTGAGGCCACTCCCTTGGCTGGGAAGCAACTTCACACATGAATGGTCTCAGGATGGCATGACCCTGGTGGTAGCACTCACCTTTTCTTCTCCGGACAAGGTTTTTTTCCCAGATGCCCCAATCAGAAAGGGGATTCATCAGAGAAAATGACTTTACCCCAGTCCTCAGCAGTGCAATCCCTGTACCTTTTGCAGTATATCAGTCTGCCCCTGATGTTTTTCCTGGAGAGAAGCGGCTTCTTTGCTGCCCTTCTTGACACCAGTCTATCATCCAAAAGTCTTCTCCTCACGGTGCATGCAGATGCACTCACACCTGCCTGCTGCCATTCCTGAGCAAGCTCTACACTAGTGGTGCCCTGATCCCACAGCTGAATCAACTTGAGGAGATGGTCTTGGCACTTGCTGGACTTTCTTGGGCGCCCTGAAGCCTTAACAATTAAACCTTTCTTCTTGAACTCCTTGATGATCCGATAAATGGTTGATTTAGGTGCAATCTTAGTAGCAGCAATATCCTTGCCTGTGAATCCATTTTTGTTCAAAGCAATGATGACTGCACGTGTTTCCTTGACAGGGTAAATTAATATTTGTGTCATTTTCATAACTTTTGGCCAGAGCTGTATGTCATGAAATCTAAAGACACATCTAACATGGAGTATACAGGAATGTAATAGAAAATTTCTCCATACCGAATGACATAGCAAACTTACTGATACCCTGCTCAGTGGTATTCACACCCAAATCAAAGTGTTTTACTTTCATCAGTCAACTACACTACCCTACAATACCTAACACCATATAAGTAGATGTTCAAAAACTAAACTCTACAATCCAGGTACATCTGCAAGTCAGGCACATCACCTACTACATGTTCACCCTTTCAAAGCAAACAATGTCATCAGTGTTCAGTGCAGGGCAAATATATTATAATTCTGTCAGTAACAGCCTGTGCTGCATGTAAACACTGTCAAGTAGAATTACTGGGTCTGCTGTGCCAACACAAATTTTAAAAAGGTCATCATAGCCACCAGCAAACAGGACCAGAAGCACAAACAGAACCCAATGCAGGGGTGTCAAACTCCATTTCATCGTGGGCCGTATCAGCACTATGGTTGCCCTCAAAGGGCCGGTTGTATCTGTAAGACCAAATGTCCAGAGCATCCCACCCCTACATCAGATGTCAAGAATCCCACACCATCCCTAAAATCACCATGCACCCCCTTTGGGGGCAGAGCTGGAAAGCAGAAAGTGCAGGGTCTGGAGGAGGACCAGTGGAGGAGTGGAGTCAGTTACCAGAGCCTGCTGAATGCTGGAGACCAGGGGAGGCAAAGATGAGGGGGGTGCTGCAGCTACACTGAGAGGTGCAGGATTTGGCAGAGGAGTTCTATTCTCAGCTCTGCTGCCGACTGTTGAGAAGGTGGGGGTGGAGAAAAGGTGGTACCTGCAGGAGAGGTGCAAGGGCCACATTGGATGGCTTGGAGAGCCAGATTTGGCCCGCGGACCTTGTGTTTGACACCTGTGACCTAATGGATAACTAGACAGCTGCCAGAGGACAGTAACAGACATGCAACCCGCAAGAATGAACCCCATGGCCACCAGAAGGAAGCAGAGCAGCCAACTGTCCTAAGACTAAGACAGCAGACTAGGGACCTCAGTACGCATGGTATTTCTACCAAGAGAAGGCGGCTTGGAGTCAAAAGCCTAGCTGAGATCTCCAGATCTGGATGATGATGAGAGTCAAAACAGCACTAAGAAGAGCTTTTGTCAGCGAACCTCTGGTTTGGTGACCCTGCAGTGATAAATATAAAAATGTGATTCTTGTGAGCTACTATGGTGTATTTTATACTTCCTAAGGTGAATAAATAAAAATTATAAAAAAATCAATAAATAACCATTAAAGGTTGTGTGCTTAATTAAACAAGCTGGTTTTGACCTCACTTAACGGTTTAGTCATAGTAATCAGGTGAGCGCACACTGGTGAAGGAGCACATGAGGAAAAATTACTGTGTGGACTTTTGTTTTTACACAATTTGTTATATAATTTTTATAATTTAGTATTTTTCACGGATTGTGTTGTAGAAATAAGCATGGATTTGCAGTAGAATTACATACCTAAACTGGACTCACATATGCTATTTAAAAAATTATATTTTTTTATATATATATTTCTTTGAATTATATATGGTTTATATATTTTTGGAGCATACCACATTTAATTTAATCGTATATTAGTGGAGCGCAACATGTTTTTGTATTTTGAGCCTGCAGTGATACTGCCATGAGCCATTCTGAGCCAGGTTAGAAGTTGCTGAAACTCAGAATGATAGAAATCTGCTTAAGGTTGGAGGCTATCCTTCTCCTTTTTTTAATTTCTATTATCCCCAGAGACAGGGACTTATACCCTGGAGATCTGCTCTGTATCCCATAGTCCACTTATTGCAAAAATTTAATAAATTCAACAAAATTAATGAAATAAAAAATGTAGCACAGGGCAGCACAGTGGCTAAATGGTTAGCACTTCCGCCTGGCAGTACTAGGGTCGTTGGTTTGAATCCCAACCACGGCACCACCTGCCTGCAGTTTGCATGTTCTCCCTGTGCCTGCATGGGTTTCCTCTGGGTCCTCCAGTTTCTTCCCACACTCCAAAGACATGCTGGTAGGTGAATTGTATCCTGTCTAAATTGTCCCTAGTATGTGTATGTATGAATGTGAGTCAGGGACCTTAGATTGTACGCCCCTTGAGGGATAGGGACTGATCTGAATGTACTATATATATATATATATATATATATATATATATATATATATATATATATATATATATATATATGTAAAGCGCTGTGCAAAATGAAGGCGCTATATACGTACCTGTAATAAATAATGTACATTTATTACATTTTTAAATTCAAGTCTGCAGAGTACTGCATTCGTGCATCACAGGTGCAATGCACCAGCCCCAGATCGTATGGAAGTATAGATCATCTTTGTGGGGCTGGAAAAAGTAAAAAAAAAAAAAAAGACATCAAGTGTAATAATGTCACTGCAACTGTGTGTCACAATCTGAGTCCCTCTGCTGTGGTGCAAAGGGACGCAAATGCCTGTGGATGTTAAGACTTTCCTATGAACAGATGTCTGCAGGGACAAGCACCCTGTGAATCAATTAAGTGGGGGAGCAGCTTGAGGGTGGGGGATTGGAGAATGCAACTATATTTCATGTTACAATGTAAATATGGATGTAACAGGGTCTCAAAAGGTGTAGTATGCCTTTCAGAGGGAGAGAAAAAAAAAGAAAAGAGCAAAACCACAATATAGTCATGTAACGTAATCCCATCACATCTCACCCAGACTCCTATGCAGCATCACCAAGCTATATAATGAATCAAACTCACAATCACATAGCAAAGCGTATACAACATTGTCCCTGAAACCTACAGCGTCTCTCATCCAGCTGGTTGAGCAGCTCCAGAAGTTGCGGGTGCATGTTGTTAATAGACTGGAAGAGGGACAACACAGCCGAGTCATTGGTAATGCTCCTGCCACGCATATGGTTGCTTTTCATGCGATTCACAAAAGTGGTGACAGCGTTCTGCAGCGCCTTCAAGAACTGCTCATGATTCTCCTCAGACTCGCCATTCTGGTACTGCTGCTGGAGGAATGGGAGATAGTTCAGTCCAGAACCAATAAAGCAATTGAATAATGGTTTACATATATTAAAACTTACAGTTAGCTTACACCTAACCAGCATTAAAAGTACGGCTCCTGTGTTAGCCAGCGCAGCTTTAGGGAAGAGAGAGCACTCCGACAATAGATAGTAAAGCCTTGAATAGTAACATCGCCCAATCACATCAATGGTCCATCCATTGCCGGAGCTTCCTTCTCTCCTCTGAAGCTGCACTGGCTGACATAGGGGAGCTGGCTTAAATGGCTAGACCAAAGTGACCTGAAAATAGGCAAGTATAAAAGATCTTTCTTAAAAAGTTTGGGTTCTGAACAAATGTTTTTAAATTTGTGGCACACATGGAAAAATCTTCATTTTTGGCAATAAATTTACTTAAAGTGTTACTAAACCCAAGACCCTGCATTCAATTTATCCGGTCTCCCCAGGCGCTGCATTCACTATATCTGGTCTCCCAGGACCCTGCACTCACTATATCTGGTTTCCCCAGGACCTTGCATTCACTCTATCCGGTCTCCCCAGGACCTTGCATTCACTCTATCCGGTCTCCCCAGGACCTTGCATTCACTCTATCCGGTCTCCAAGGACCCTGCATTCACTCTATCTGGTCTCCCCGGACCCTGCATTCACTATATCTGGTCTCCAAGGACCCTGCATTCACTCTATCCGGTCTCCAAGGACCCTGCATTCACTCTATCTGGTCTCCCCGGACCCTGCATTCACTATATCTGGTCTCCAAGGACCCTGCATTCACTATATCTGGTCTCCCCGGACCCTGCATTCACTATATCTGGTCTCCAAGGACCCTGCATTCACTCTATCCGGTCTCCCTGGACCCTGCATTTACTATATCTGGTCTCCCACAGAACATGGAAATGCAATGATTTTAGTAAATATAAACTGCTAAATACTTTTTCTCATCAGCAGTACACAGCAGTCTTGTGACTTCTATCAGTGTCCAGCCGAGCACTTGTTAAAGCTTGTAGGAGTTTTCATTCCCCTAGGACTGTCCTATGAGGCTGCATGACCCCTGACCCTCTGATTGGCTGTGATTTTCTTTTATTTATTTTTCTTGATTGCTATGACAAAGGGTTAATAAACGTCCATATGATAGCATTGGGCAGGTGACAAGTACTCTTTATGGCGACATTGGGGGTCTAATAGAAAACCAATGTCCTCCTTGCCTTTCACACCATCTAACCAAGCACAGATCAATGGGGTTAGGCATGTCCTCTGGCTGTACTGGCAAGGAAATGGTGGATCTGAAACCAGAAGTGACGAAATGATCATCGCTTCCGGCTTCATTGTTTATATGGAAGATTGAGGTATCGCTCACATAGCTCTGTCTTCTAAAGCTAGTGGTTGTGTTCCCGGGCTCCCGGTATGAGCAGGAGAGCCCAGGAACCATGGGTGAGAGTGGGGGGCACCGTGCTCCCAGCTCTGAGAAAGTGACCAGCGGCTATGGAGCCACCTCATCACTTTCAAGCTGGGAGCCAGCTAAAGAGAAACCACCATCAGCTTGTGATTAATAGTTCAATCTTTGGACATGCATAGTATGACCCAAGAGCTAAACTAGTTAAACAGGTTAGTTAGCATAGGTGTTAGGAGGGGGGAAGGGACAGTTTTAAAACTACTCAGGTGTAAGCTGGATTTCCACTTGAAGTGTAACATTCTATAACATTCAGGGAATGTGTTCAGTTGCCAATAAACAAGTCAAGTTCCTGAAAGGCTAATGAGCTCAGCTAAAAACAAACAGGATTCTTACCTCCATAACACTGACCATGCTCACTGGTGGCACCTCAGCCACCTGCACCACAGGCTCACTTGTTGGTACTGGAGCGGACGGGGTGGGGCTCTTCCGCACCTCCTCCTGTTTCTTCTCCCAGTAATTGCGGTTTAGATAGCGGGCAAGCTACACAGAAAGACAGATGAGACCGATCATAGCGGAAAGCACAAAAAGAAATAAATAATAATAAGTCTCATAGTAATGCTATAATTTATTACCTCTGGGTCGATTTCTTCAGCAAGCGGAGCAGAAGAATTCTAAAAGTTGTGGAAAAAAAAATATAAGATGTAATACCCTTTAATGATTAAATCAGGGAATCTGCTAGTGCTAGTCATGAGAATACTCACCACAGAGGAATAGAGAGTACTGGCTGGAGGGGCAGAGGATGTAACAGGGGTTGGGTCTGCCTTTGGATACATGCCATATGTGTTCTTTTGTCTCTGCAAGTGAAGACCAGAACCACCTGCATTAGGGGAGGGCCCCTAGATCACAAAACGCACGGTATGATATCCATTTACAATAACAGTAGAAGAATATGTTCCAAGCTGTTGAGTGAAAGGAAGGCAACTTACCATTCTTTCTTTTTCTTCAGCTTCAGACTGTGACAAAGCGATAGCCAGCTGCAGTTCCTCCTCCTCCTGCAGAGCAGTTTCATCCCTCTTGGGCGGCATCTAAATACAGAACATTCAGAGATATAAAAAGCAGGCAGGACTGACAAAAAAAAAATACCCATTGCACATTGATATGTTTTTGTCAAGCTGTTGTTGTATTGTCAGCTTTAACCTGTATGTCTAAGTGTAGCTATAATTGTATTCCAAGCATGTATGGGGTAAATTAGACAAAAAGCTTTAAAGTGGTTGTAAACCTCAGACATGAAATATGAACAAAGCATATTCCTCTATAGTGTGTACGTGTCTCAATTCAGAGCACTAATGCCGGTTACACACATTCATATTTTATTAATTCAACCCAACGGGCTCAACAACAAACTAAGAGATGTTAGTACAGCTATCTCTCCCGTCGTGCCTTTGTGTTCTGACAGAGGGACCCCTTTATATCATAGTGTTTTTTATCATTTGTAAATGTAGTGTATTTATTGTTTTCATTACACGATGGCGCTGTCCGTAGGTGCTTTTTATACAGTACATTATTTATGAGATCCATTTGTTTGTGATGTTAAATATTTTTATTCTTTTTTTTTAAATGTACTATTTATTTGCTATTCGTGTTTTCAGTTGTTTATTCCGTGGGACGGTTTAAATTACCTCTATACCTGGTTTAATCGGAGTCCTCTAGACCTGTGGTCCTGCTCTGGTATTTGGAGTGCAGCTAATGGTTTGTTACCAGTTTGACCTAAGCCGATAGATTCTACTTCCTGTTTGTTGGTGATGTTTCCGGTATTTGAAGCGCAATTGAGGTTGGGCTGGGTGGACTCCCGTTCCTACTTATTAGGTGCGATGTCACATATTGACCACGCCCCTGGCGTCCTTTGTGTGACGAAACACGTAGGGTGGAGCTATGACGCGTGACATCACCGCACGCCGCGGTCATCTTGTTGGTTAGAAACACCATTCAAACCTGCTGATTTTTATCTCTGCTATTGTAAGTGCATTAGTTAACCCCTTGATGCTCACATAACACAAATATGTAGCCTCACAGAACTGGGCTTTTTTCCATGGGACCGCATATTTGCATACCTGTCTTTCTGCTGGGGGCGCGCTCCCAGCACAAAGACCGTGATGTCACTGAGAGCACCGGGTCCCGTTCTAATAATCGGGACCCCTGATTCCGGTTCATATAATTGCTGTGATAGCCTCTGATTGGCTATCACAGTCATCAGTCACTGTACAGCATGCCTCTTGTTTTTTTTTTTTTTCTCTCTCTCTACGAGTGGAGGAGAGAGATACATTGTATCGCTCGAACTCCTGGCATAGAGGGGGAAAAAAATGTTTGTTAAAAAAAGATAAAGAAATATAAAAAAATAAAGAAAAAATACCTAGATCAAGGTATGATCTAGTTCAGTGCCAGGGTAAGTGTTTGGGTCAAGGTCAGGATCAAAAGTCAAGGTCAGGATTTAAAAAAAAAATTGGTGTGTTTTAGGTAAAAAAAAAAAAGGACAAAAACAAAATGCGCATTATTGTTTCTGGGCTGTACTACGGGTACAAACAACAAATAACATACACATATATGGTATCGCTGCGATCGTCAAGAGCTGGAGAATTTATTTTGGGTTGTTCTTTGGTGGTAGGTTATAATAGTACCAAGAAACATACAGCTAAATAGAAAAAAAAATAATGTTTTGGTTTTTTTTTTACTATTTTGGGCCAGTTTTCCTTTGATAATAAAATCAGGAGATATCCATTACCATTTTCCACCAAATGAAAGCCCAATCTGTCCTGAAAAAAACAAGGTATAATCCACCTGGATGTACAAAGTAGTAGTGATGATATGTACGGTTTTACTAACACAGGTCAACATTGCAAAATTGTGTTTAGGCATTTCGATTTGTTGTACCCTTAGGCATGAAGGGGTTAAATAAATTGCATTCTTCAGTCAAATACTACACTATGAGGGGTTATACTTTTTCCCTATGTGGTGTCTACTGTGTGGAGAAGTATTTGCCATCCTAGACCTCATTGTTTAGTGAGAAGTCCCCTGTTCATGCTGATTTTTGGAGAGATCCATCTGGGAGTCCTGGACTCATCTGCTGGGCTTGTTATCTGCTTTCTTTGACCAATCCTTCGGCTGGTCAAACTCTCCGGTAAGAGGCCAAATGATTGGGTGAAAGGTGATGGATTCTCTTTCTGCCGGCTTTTGGTTTCACTCGGCACCATCACTACTGGATCAGATGAATTTTGTACAGACTTTATTTAATGTACTATATTGTTTCACCATTATCCTTTTCTTGTGGGGATTTGGACAATATTTTTTTTAATATTAATTACTATCTTAAGCGCTACGCTTAGTGTTTTTAGTTTGTTTATTTTCGCCTATTTACTGTGTTAGCTGCTAATTTTATTTGCAAATTTCCAAGCGCAGGTTTTCTACTTAATTATAGTGTGTACTTGTCTCAATTCAGAGCACTAATGCCTGTTACATACATTCATGTTTTATTCATTCAACCCGACGGGCTCAACGAAAAAAAACAAAAAAAACGGAGAAATCGCTGTACTAAGTGATGTTAGTACTGCTATCTCTCCCGTCGTATTCAGACAGGGGGACCCCAGCCAGAACATACTAATCAGAACTCACAACCATTTGCTGCGAGCGCTGATGGGATGCTGGTTTTCCAGCATGTCCCTTCGACAAAAGATGGTCCTTAGACCAGCTACTGTCGGAAGGACAGCAGAACACATTGTCCAAATGTTAGCCAGTTACTGTTGAACTGGATGATATTCGAACCGTGTGTGTCCAGCTAAAGTGCCATTTCTCTCTGCTGCTTCATTCCACTGCTATCAGCATGAGTCACTTCTGACAAGTTTTCCTGACACCAAGAGGAAATGGTGACAGGGGAGGGATCTCCAGCAGATTAACAGCCTCAGCTCTGTTAATGTGGAGGGGGTTGTGTCTCTTCCCTCCAATCAGCTCTCAGAGCTCTCCTTGCTGAACTCTGCAGAGTATAAATTCAGCTGATTGGTTTCTATGCAGAGCTGCACCAGATTTTGCACTCTTCACTTTTAGTAAACCTCCCCCAATGCATTTTGTTTGGCTCCTTTGTCTTTTTAGTAGACATAGAACACGCTCTGTAGTGGATGGAACTCTAAAGGGAAGACCTCATTGCATGCATCCCTGTGACCAAGAACTTTGTTATAACATCAGATTTCAGCTCTCTTTTAAAAAGGATACTCTGAAAAGGTTCAATCAAAAATCCACAGAGGTGACTTGTTCCTCTCACCTGTGATTGCTGAGATAGAGGGCTGGTCAAATATTCTGGGGGTAGTTCAACGCTGGTGGCGGACTTTCCTTCTCCCTTTCTGCAACAAGATAATGTGTGTTTAGTGAAACACATGGGCCAATGACTGCTTTTGAGAATTAAAACCCAAGGAAAATTCAGTGCTTGTACTTTAACCACTTCCTGTCCAGTCGTTGTATATGAACGGCCGGACGGTGGCAGTGCAGGGTGGCTGTTTATAAACGGCCTCCCCACACCCTGCTTGTGCGCGCTCCCTGGGAGCGCGCAGCACCGCAATCCAGTGCCTGCTGTGTCCTCCGGACACAGTGGAACACCGATCGGACGGGACCTCTGTGCGAGGTCTAGATCATGTGATCACTGATTGGCCAATCAGTGATCACATGCAGAGTAGTAAGCAAGATGTCACTTCTGACATCATTGCTTACTACGTATGAAATCTGTGAATGATCACAGAGGTCACATGGTACAAGGCGATTCACAACAACCTTGTACCATGTGACAAGCTGTGACCAATCACAGCTCACACAGTAGTTCTCAATGGCTTCAAGAATGCAGCTAGAGAGGAGAAATTATTGCTTTTACAGCCTTTATGGGTGTAACAGCAATCAGGGTAAAAAAAATAAAAAATTCATCATCCCCCACAAGTAGTACAGTGTCACCATGGTGACACTGTACTGCTAGGGTGACAGTATGAAAAACAAAACAAAAACAAATAATATGAAAAAAAGTAAAAACAAATGTTTAAAAATTATATTTTTTGGTTATAAACTAATTTGTTTTTTTTGTTTTTTTACAAAAGATAACGGAATACATTTTGGCCAAGATTCATGATGAAATATTATTTATTTGCAAAACTTTATAAGAAAAACACTTTTTTTTTCAAAATTTTTGGACTTTTTCATTTACATAGCAAAAAAAATAAAAATCCCAGCGGTGAATAAATACCACCAAAATAAAGCTTTATCTGTCTCAAAAAAATGCTAAAAAATTCATATGGGTACAGTGTTGCATGACCGCGCAATTGTCATTCAAAGTGTGATAGCACTGAAAGCTGAAAATTGGCCTGGACAGGAAGGGGGTGAAAGTGTCCAGACTGGAAGGGGGGGGAAAGTGTCCGGACTGGAAGGGGGGGGAAAGTGTCCGGACTGGAAGGGGGGGAAAGTGTCCGGACTGGAAGGGGGGGAAAGTGTCCGGACTGGAAGGGGGGGAAAGTGTCCGGACTGGAAGGGGGGGGGGGGAAAGTGTCCGGACTGGAAGTGGTTAAACTAAATGGCAGCTATTGTCTTAACTTCTGGCACTTACTTGTTCAAATGTTCATAGCAAGGCTCGCACACGCGTACTTCTTTCTCAATGCCAAACTTGGGGATGGTGGAGTACTTTGAAGAGCATTTCCCACAGAAAATCTGACCACAGGCTCTACAGTGATGCTGCAAGGGAAAAAAATTAATTTGTGATAAAAGAGATATACTGAGCAGATGGGGAAAAAAAAGAGGCAACAGAACAAAAAGACACAAATGCTACACCTACCTTCCGCGTGACGACTCCAAACTGAACGCGGCAGCGATGACACTCCTCGGCATCTACCCAATCGGGAGCCTACAGAATAAATAGAACCTGTCAAGATTCAGCTTTCACCCGTCGCTGCTACATTTCCCACCTAAGACCTAAGAAAAGTGATAATTTGGAATGCACTCACTCGCTCTGCAGCAAACATGGCGTCACTCTCTTTGAACTCAGGGAAGTTGTGTCCTAAAGAAGGAAAAAGTCACAGAAATATATGAAGATTGTTCGTGTGCATCAGAAACTCATTTTATTGCAATCTGTGTCCCTATTGGTCAGATCTTTCCTCACTTCTTCTCTTACCAGGAAATAAGGGGAAATCTCACCAATAGGGAAACAGACCAAAAACACATTTTAGTAGAGAGGGAAGGGTTGAAGCCTAAATTCATATTTACTGAGCCTTTAATTAGCTTGGCCCAAATGAACAGATATGGCTGCTGGGCACACTGTATATACTGTATGTATCCTCAGAGACATACAGTACAAAGCGCTGTGTAGGACTTCCTGTCCTCCTTTTGCAAAATCGAGTCAGGCTGAGTGTTGCTCGGCCTTTCACAGGAAGCGTTGTATTCTAAGAATGAACACCAAGTCTCCTCTGATTGGCGGAGGTGGGTGGATGACATCACAATCTTTGCCTGAATCAGAGGAACATTGATATACACACACATGCATGCATACATACATACATACACATACATACATACACATATATATATATATATATATATATATATATATATATATATATATATATAGACAAGACTGATCTCAGCTAAAGGCGATTACTTTAACCACTTCCCGTCTGGCACATGTACATAAATGACCGTACGGGAGCAGTGCAAGAGCGGGTGGCCATTTATAGACGTTCACTGTATCCGGTCTCCCCGAACCCTGCGTTCACTAGACCCGGTCTCCCCGGACCCTGCGTTCACTAGACCCGGTCTCCCCGGACCCTGCGTTCACTAGACCCGGTCTCCCCGGACCCTGCGTTCACTAGACCCGGTCTCCCCGGACCCTGCGTTCACTAGACCCGGTCTCCCCGGACCCTGCGTTCACTAGACCCGGTCTCCCCGGACCCTGCGTTCACTAGAACCGGTCTCCCCGGACCCTGCGTTCACTAGAACCGGTCTCCCCGGACCCTGCGTTCACTAGAACCGGTCTCCCCGGACCCTGCGTTCACTAGAACCGGTCTCCCCGGACCCTGCGTTCACTAGAACCGGTCTCCCCGGACCCTGCGTTCACTAGAACCGGTCTCCCCGGACCCTGCGTTCACTAGAACCGGTCTCCCCGGACCCTGCGTTCACTAGAACCGGTCTCCCCGGACCCTGCGTTCACTATATCCATTAGCAGTATATAGCAGTCTTGTGACTTCTATCAGTGTTCGTCTGAGCACTGGTTAAAGTTTGTAGGAGGAGTTTTCATTCTCCTATGAGGCTGCATATTCCATAACCCTCTGTCTGGACAGTGCAGTTTGGTCCTGTGCTCATCACATGCACCCTCCCAAAGAAAAGAGAAAAAAAAAAAAAAAAGTGACACACACCAAACTGAGCATGTGCAGAGTGACTCCTAGCACTCTGTACTGTCAGCAGATGGATTGGAGACAGTAGAAGGGAAGGATCAGAAAATACAGGATCAAACAGCTTTTTTGCATAATGTGGAGGATTAACCCCTTAGGTTCCACAGTGAGTATAACAAGCATGCTTTACTGCAGACGGATTTTACTGTTGAGGGTTTAGTAACACTTTAAATGCCTTAGCTGTGCATGGTTCCACCCATACAACCATATCATTCATAGGAATCTGTAAACAAAAAAAAAAAAAAAAAAGAAGAAAACTACAAATCCCATATGCCACAAAGACAGAAAGGTGTCCTTGCCATACTTGTAGTCGACAGACCCCCTCCTGCAACCCTGTAACCAAAGGAGAAAGTTTGAGCCTAGAGCGGCTTCCTATGGCTTCCCGCACCAAAAACGGGCAGGACCCTTTTTTGGTCCGCACTAGAATCAGATTGCATGGGTATTCATACCCATGCGATCCAATTTTGCACATCGCACCGCGTTTTGCGGACCGATGTGGGGGTGTCGTTAACATACACACCCGCATCGGTTCATATGAATGGGATGTGATTCTGATGCGGTGTGGAATTCACACAGAAAACGATGTAAATTCCACACCGCACCAGGGCTGAAACTGCTGCGCACAGAATCTGGTGCAGCTGTGCATAGTAACCAATCAGCTTCTATGTTTTATCGTCAAATCTTAATTGAACAAGCTGAAGTTAGAAGCCGATTGGTTCCTATGCGCAGCTGCATCAGATTCTGTGTGCTCCAATTTTAGCAAATCTCCCCCACAGTGTCCTCTATAGCAGGATAGCCCTCCTTACCTTCCACCTTCATGATCTGATAGGTGTCCTGGACAACTTTATACTTCGGCTCGTTGCGGAAGGCGTGGGCCCAGGCTTGGATCAGATACAAGATCTTGTTCCGAACATTCGGTTCCACTGCTCGCTGATAAAAATAAAAAAATTGATAACTTTCTATCTTATTAGGAGTTAAAACAGCAAAGTCTGATGCACTGTTAATGAATCCTCGAAGGAAAGGACAAGATGTGAACTCTCTGTATTACAACAGTCTGATTCAACTGTGAGTCAGGTGAGTCAGGAAGTTACGAAAGAGTCACAAGACGGCCTATGGGGCTTTCCTGCCATGAGTCTCTAGAAAAACAAATACCAATGGGATGAGGCGTGCTTGGGAATGGGCGGAGTTTCTGGAGACTAAGCAAACTCGGACCCAGGAAGCCTCAGTAGCTGAATGACCTTTCTGCCATATGGGTGTCATTACCTTCTGCAGTTCTTTCAGCTCTTCCATAGTTTGCTTATTTGCCACCTCGTCGTGTACGGTTGAGCCGCAGTTTTTCACCACAGACTCCAAAACCTGCGAGAGTAAAAGCAAAATCAAAATGTGTAAAGCAGGTGTAATCAAAAGGGTTTAGCAACACAGAAAAAAAGAAAAAAAAGTAAAAAAGGGAAAGAAAAGGGAAAGAAGGGGGAAAAAGGGGAACAAAAAAAAGAAAAAAAAAAGGGGGGGAAAAAGGGAAAAAGGGGGAAAAAAAGAAGAGAACAAGCAAAAAGGGGGGGAAAATAGGAAAAAAAAGGGGAAAAAAACAGGAAAAAAAGGAAAAAGAAAAAGGAAAAAAAAAAAGAAAAAAGTGAAAAAAAAACAGGGAAAAAAAGGGAAAAAAACCAGGAAAAAAAAAGGGGGAAAAAAAAAAAAAAAACAGGAAAAAAAAAAAGGAAAAAAAAAAAGGAAAAGAAAAAAGCGATTGGAAGCAGAATGTGTCCTCCCTCCCTGTAGTCTTTTGGGACATGTGACAGGGCAGCGCTACTCGCACATGCGCAGTGGGTACCTGGCCGGGTGCTCACACTGAAGATGCCGGCCTCCTGGAATACAGGACGGCCGGTGAAACGGGCTGCGAGGGGGACACACCGCAGGACCGAGGGACAGGTAAGTGGCTGTTCTTTAAAAGTCAGCAGCTACAGTTTTTGTAGCTGCTGACTTTTATTTTTTGGCAGCGTGAGTGGAACTCCACTTTAATTGCAGTAGGAAGGTTAGAGGAGCAGCATTAATTCAGCTAGGCAACAGTGTCTCCCTAACCATGTCTCTCACAGCAGCCATAGATTGTAAAAAAAAAAACAAAATCAGAATTGCCACATGCTTGCTGACCCACTTGTATAAGCATTTGAGAAGCCCACCCTAAGACTGAGGACAGTGTGTACAACCCCACAACTTACCTCCAGGGCAAAAAGAGCCACGTGTGGGTTTTTGTCATTCACCTTCTTCTTGATAGAAACAACTGCATATTTAGCTCTACGAAAGAGAAAATAATAAAACACCAAATAAAATCTTTGATCTTAATGCCCATTCACACTAGAACACAGTACGGGAAAAACGTGTTCCATGCTAGTTTCCCACACTGCATTTAGATTGCACTGCCCTTGCAATCTGCAGTGGCTATCAGTGAAAAGTTAACAACACCCCAAACGCTAGACACAAAAGCCTGCACCGGATCGCATGGTAAAAAAGTAGCAAGTGATCCGGTTGTAGCGTTTTTCCAAAAGTAGTGCATTCACTACTTTTGATGTGGTGCAGTTTCAACCCATTCAAAATGCACTCAAAATGAATGGGCTGAAATTGCACTGCACAGAACTGAATGTGAACCGCACAGAAACTCCAGCGTGACATGCAGTACCTAGTGTGAACCAACCCTAATAGCTAAATGAGAATCCAGACATGATTTTTATTTTGCTAATATTTGCACTTTATACATAAATACACAATGGGTGAGACTCCAAAAACTTCCATAAACAGAAGAACAATATCTGTAATTTATGAATTTATTTTTTACTTTGATTTTATACAGGTCCATTCTCTGGAGTGCATGTTCTATATATTCTTTTTTTTTTAGGAATGAGAACAGGCGTGTTCCAACATGAGTTTAAACCCGCCTGAGTTATCCTGCCAGCAAGCTGTCGCTGTGAACAACCAATCAGAAGCAGCGGAGGCAGCCCCACGGCTACATGTATACAATGGGGGTATCTCCTAGATTGTAAGCTCCCAGGATCAGGGCCCTCCTAACCCTCTTGTATTGAACTGTATTGTTGCTGTATTGTCTCCCGTTATATTGAAAAGCGCTGAGCAAACTGTTGGCGCCATAAATCCTGTATAATAATAATAATATATGTACTAATGCAGGGCAAAGAATGCTTCCACAGCTTATCATTGTGAGCTATCACAGCAGACAGCCAAATGCGCCTGAGCTCAACCCTATTGCCAATGAATAATCTGCTAACAGTACTGTGGTATCATGGAATTCCTCATACATATGTACAGAAGATACAATATATGGCCAAAAGGATGAATTCACTTGACCAACACTATATTGCCAAAAGTATTGCCCCCCCCCCCCCCCTCCAAATCATGTGATTCAGGTGTTCCAATCCCCTCCATGGCCACAGGTGTATAAAATCACCCCCTAGGCATGCAGACTGCTTCTACAAACATTGGTGAAAGAATGGGTCGCTCTCAGGAGCTCAGTGACTCCAAGCGCGGTCCCGTGATAGGTTGTCACCTGGGCAATAAGTCCATCCGTGACATTTCCTGGCTACTAAATATTCCACGCTCAACTGTTAGTGGGATTATAACAAAGTGGAAGCAACTGGGAACAGCAGCAACTCAGCCACCAAGTGGTAGGTCACGTCACATGACAGAGCGGGGTCAGCGCATGCTGAAGCGCACAGTGCGCAGAAGTCACCAACTGTCTGCAGAGTCAATAGCTAAAGACCTCCAAACTTGGTGTGGCCTTCAGATGAGCACAACAACAGTGCGTAGAGAGCTCCATGGAATGGGTTTCCATGGCCGAGCAGCTGCATCCAAGCCTTACATCACCAAGTGCAATGCAAAGCGTCGGATGCCGTGGTGTAAAGCACGCCACCACTGGACTCTAGAGCAGTGGAGACGTGTTCTCTGAAGTGACAAATCACGCTTCTTTGTCTGACAATCCGATGGACGTGTCTGGATTTGGCAGTTGCCAGAAGAACAATACTTGGCTGACTACATTGTGCCAAGTGTACTGTAAAGTTTGGTGGGGGGGGGGGGGGGGGGGATTATGGTGTGGGGTAGTTTTTCAGGGGTTGGGCTTGGCCCCCTAGTTCCAATGAAGGGAAATCTTAAGGTGTCAGCATACCAAGACATTTTAGATAATTTCATGCTATCAACTTTGTGGGAAGAGTTTGGGGATGGCCCCTTCCTGTTCCAACATGACTGCACACCAGTGCACAAAGCAAGGTCCATAAAGACATGGAAGAGCCAGTTTGGGGTGGAGGAACTTGACTGACCTGCACAAAGTCCTGACCTCAACCCCATAAAACACCTTTGGGATGAATGAGAGCAGAGACTGTGAGCCAGGCCTCCTCCCCCGACATCAGTGCCTGACCTCACAAATGTGCTTCTGGAAGAACGGTCCAACCTTCCCATAGACACCCTCCTAAACCTTGTGGACGGCCTTCCCAGAAGAGTTGAAGCTGTTATAGCTGCAAAGGGCGAGGCCATCTCAATATTGAACCCTACAGACCAAGATTGGCATGCCATTAAAGTCAATGTGCGTGGAAAGGCCGGCCGACCAATACTTTTGGCAATATAGTGTATACAAGCTTGTTGGACATCCTATTCCCAATACCAATGGCATAAGAAGTTCACACCCCTCCTTCTGCAGTATTAACATCCTCCACTCTTCTGGGAAGACTTTCCAATATATTTTGGAGCGTTCCTGTGGGAATTTGAGGTCAGTTGGGAAGTCAAGTACCAATGGTGGATAAGAAGACCTGGCTCACAATCAGGATTCCAATTCATCCCAAATGTGTTCAGTTGGGTTGACGTCAGGGGTCTGTGCAGTTCGCTGGAGTTCCTCCACACTAAACCCATCAAGTCATGATTTATAAAGCTGGCTTTGTACACAAGGGGACAGTCATTGCCAGAACTGAACGCTGGTAACACCTGAATTCCATCATTTGGAGGGGTGCCCACATTCTTTTGACACACAGAAAGGACAAACAGTATGTTGAGCCCAAATAAGAGCCACGACTGTCACCACTCTTCTGCATCGGAAATTCCATTTTAAAATATTTACTTTATCAAGCAAGTGTGACTTGTTCAAACAATAAGAGACAGGTTGGGGCTACTTACTGCGTGTCTCCTTGACGAATCATATCACAGATTTGCAGAATGGACTCCCAGTCTGTCTCCAACAGGAGTTGACTGGTGGCTTTATCTATAAACAAAAAAAAAAAATGCATTAAAATGACTTGAAGGCTTCATGCATATGGGAACACTTGCCTGAGTAGCATAAAGACGCTGCAGTTTTCTGATGGCCGGGATACCCTGGAGCTGCACATAGTCATGAATGGTCATGCATGGACTGAGGTGGCTGCACGCAGCTAGGCACCGCTATTTGTGAAAAGTAACACATGCACGCGAGACGCCACGTTCTGAAGGCACATCTACCTGCGTTCATGGCCTAACATCAGCTTTAAATTACATTTAAAGAATTTTATTTTTAATCTAGGACAGAGAAAGGGAAAGTAAAAACTCCTTTAAATTTTTTCCCGTGTCCCATTGTGGAGATTTCCTTCACTTCCTGTTCAAAAGACAGGATATATTTCTATTTAACCACTTACCCTCCTGAGGATTTACCCCCCTTAATGACCACGCCTCTTTTTGCTACTCGGCGCTGCACTATTTCAACTGATAATTGCGCGGTCATGCGATGCTGCACCCAAACGAAAATTACGCCCTTTTTTTTCACACAAATAGAGCTTTCTTTTGGAGGCATTTGATCACCTGTGCGCTTTTTATTTTTCGTGCTATAAACTAAAAAAAGACCAAAAATTTTGAAGAAAAACATATATTTTTTACTTTCGGCTAAAAAAAATATATAGTAAAAGCAAAGTTAGTTATAAATTTAAGTCAAAATGTATTCTGCTCCATGTTTTTGGTAAAAAAAAAAATCCCAATAAGTGTATATTGATTGCTTTGTGTGAAAGTTATAGCGTCTACAAACTATGGTATAGATAATGGAATTTACACAGCTTTTACTTTCTGACTGCCCATCACATTTTTTGAGGTGCTAAAAACCATGATAGTACAAACACCCCCAAATGACCCCTTTTTGGAAAGTAGACACCCTAAGCTATCTGCTGAGAGGCACATTGAGTCCATGGAAGATTTATTTTTTTCCACTAGTTTTAGGAAAATGACCGCTTGAGGTGATCAGTGCAAATATGATTAGTGCAAATAAAAAAAGTATCACGTCAGTACTCAATTGTTTCTGTAGGAAAATGACAAAACGTATTTTTTTATTTTTACACAAAGTTGTCATTTAAATGATATATTGCTCAAACAAGCCATGGGTATATGTGGAATTACACCCCAAAATATATTCTGCTACTTCTACCGAGTATAGGGATACCACACGTGTGAGACCTTTTGGGAGCCTAGCCACATACAGGAGCCTGAAATCCAATGACCACTTTGAAAGCCTGAAGGTGCGTAACTTCCTCATTTCACTTCCTCGCTACCTATCACAATTTCGAAGGCCCTGAAATGCCAGAATAGCACCCCCCCCCCCCCAAGGAATTAAAAAAAAAAAAAGCCATGGTATTTTGCAGATCTCATTTTTTCTCACAAGGTTTTGAAATATATAAAAAAAGAAAAAATATGTTTTTGTTTTCTTTCTTCATTTTCCAAAAACTTGTGGCAACAAATGAGATCTGCAAAATACTCATAATGCTTATCAAAAATATTGGGGTGTCTACTTTCCAAAAAGGGGTCATTTGGGATGGTTTGGTGCAATCCTGGCATTTCAGGGCCTCCAAAACTGTGATAGGTAGTCAGGAAGTGAAATGAGGAAATAAATCCCTTTAAAAGCCTGAAGGTGCTTATTGGATTTTGGGGTCCTGTACTTGGCTAGACTGCCAAAATGTCTCTCACATGTGGTACCCCCATACTCGGGAGAAGTAGCAGAATGTATTTTGGGGAGTAATTCCACATATACCCATGGCATGTGTGAGGAATAGATCATTTAAGTGACAATTCTGGTTAAAAAAAAAAAGGTTTTTTTTTGGCATTTTCCAAAAACGTGTAAAAAAAATAAATCTTCCATGGACTCAATATGCCTCTCAGCAAATAGTTTGGGGTGTCTACTTTCCAAAAAGGGGTCGTTTTGGGGGGGGCAGTTTATGCCACACATCACTCGCTCTTCTAACCACCTGAAGACCAAGTCTTTTCTGACACTTTTTGTTCACATGAAAAAAAATCATTATTTTTTGCTAGGAAATTACTTTCAACCCCCAAACATTATATTTTTTTTAAAGCAGACATCCTAGTGAATAAAATGGCGAGTGCTGCAATTTTTTTATGTTACATAGTACTAGCGCAGCCATTTTTCAATTGCAAATTTAAAAAAAAAAAAAACTTTTTTTTTTTTTTACTTTTAATGCACAAAAACAATATATTGGCGAATTATTTGGTAAAATAGAAAAGATGATGATATGCCGAGTAAATAGATACCAAACATAACATGCTTTAAAATGGCGCATGACCCGTGCAATGGTGACAAACTGCATACGTTTTTAATATCCATAGGCAACGTTTTAACAGCCTTTACAAGCTACCATTTTAGATTTACAGAGGAGGTCTAGTGTGTAGTTAGAATTACTGCTCTTGATCTGACGTTCACAGCGATACCTCACATGCATGGTACAACCACTGATTACATACCACCATGTTGTCAACACTGGCGCAACCAGGGGGCAAAGGGTTTTTGTTTTTTTTAAGTTATTTAGATTTTTTACATTATTTTTACACTGTCCCTTTCATTTTTTTTTTTTTTATTTCTTTTTGATCACTTTTACTGCTATCAGAGGGAATGCAAATATCCCCTATAACTTCAATGGGCATTGTCATATATTCTTTTTTGAGAAATCTGGGGTCTATCAGACTCTACATATCTCCTCTGCCCTTATATTATCTAATCCAGGGGTAGGCAACCTGACAGCCGCAGGACTACAAGTTCCATCATGCTTCTGTAAATCATAGCTGTAACTGTCAGTTTTGTAATCTTTGCAATGCCTCATGGGAAATGTAGTTCCACAACAGCTAGAGAGCCGCAGGTTGCCTACCCCTGAATTCTAATCAAACCAAGATCGGTGTGTGATCAGATGCTTTCCCAATTTACAAATGGCGCTGTTTATATCCTGCGAAACTGAAGTGGTGAAATGCTTGTAGCTTCCGATTCCTTAGACTATAGAGGCGATTGGCGCCATTCCGGTCTCCAAACAGCTCTATGGTCAGCTGGCAGAAACACCGGCTGCATTCTCAGGTTGCTCCCGATGGCACAGCACTGCCCGAGAAGGCCATGGGGGGGGGGGGGGGGGGGGGGGGGCATCGTCTCCCGCTGCTTGCAAAAGCAATCCTGCAGCTAATTAGCCACTAGGACTGCTTTTACATGAAAGCCGTTCGACGGCTGAAAAAAAACAATAAAAAAAAAACCAAAAAAACACAGAACATAGCATATATACCCAACGATATATATACCCATCAGCGCCGTACTGGTACATCACTGGACTTTGATATACCAGGATGATGCCTACAGCTGCTGTATAACCAAAGTCCAGTGATGTACCAGGACGGCGCTGGTCCTTGTTGGGTATATATGCTATGTTTTTTTTTTTTTTTTTGTTTTTTTTATTAATGCAGCCTGTGGACTGAATGAAAAAAAAAAAAAGAGAAGAAATCTCTGCCAAAAAAAGTGTGGAAAGGGGAGGTGTTCTGTAGTCCTGATACATCTCCATACCATGTCTGTAGTCCTCCTACTGTACTTCCTGTTCTAGGGTGACAACTTGCTCACTGTGCTTTATCTATTGAGGAGCAACAGAACACCTCCCCTTTTCTAATCTCCATATCATGGGGGGTGTTCTGTAGTCCTGACACATCTCCATAGTCATACTGTACTTCCTGTTCTAGGGTGACAACTTGCTCGCTATGCTGCATCTATGGAGGGAGCAACAGAACACCTCCCGTTTTCTCATCTCCATATCATGGTGGGTGTTCTGTAGTCGTGGCACATTTCCATATCATGTCTGTAGTCCTACTGTACTTCCTGTTCTAGGGTGACGACTTGCTCACTGTGCTGCATCTATGGAGGAGCAACAGAACACCTCCCGTTTTCTAATCTCCATATCATGGGGGGTGTTCTGTAGTCCTGACACATCTCCATATCATGAGGAGTGCTCTGTAGTTCTAATATACTTCCAGTTCTAGGGTGACAACTTGCTCACTGTGCTGAATTCATGGAGGAGCAACAGAACACCTCCCGTTTTCTCATCTCCATATCATGGGGGGTGTTCTGTAGTCCTGACCGACCTCCTGTCCTCAGGTGATGATACTGCTCCTCCACAGATACAGTGAGTGTTGTCACCCTAGTACAGTAAGTGTTACTGGCAGGATCACCCAGTGAAAAGAAAAAAAAAACTAATGCAGCCACCACATTGAAGAGCTGGTAAGCTGGAACAGATGATGTTTCTTCTTCGGTTTGGATACTCTTTAAAGTTCAACAGGTAAACCTACAGAGCACGGACTGTTCCGGGAGAGAATTCTGCTCCGCTGGTCATGTGACTGGCACCATCTGGTCATGTGATCTCCGCAGAGGAGGCCGGGGTCAGAGTTCAGGCCTCACCGTCAGCAGGTCACATGACCAGCACAGGGGGGGAGCCCACAGCAGCATTTTCCCCAGGCAAGGTTTTTTTTATTATTATAACTCTTCCATGCCTGTCCATAATGAAGAGACCGACTTAATGTAATCACTGTCAGGGGCCCCTGTGGCCCTATATATCGATTTGTACCCCGATTGATAGCTGTCACTATAATGTAGAAGGTGGGGGAGGGGATCAGTGCCAGTCTATGGGCGGCCTAATGACAATACAAGGCTGGTCATCACGTGACTCATAACACATTCAGCAATGTCACCCTCAAGTGTTCCTCACCCAGCAGCCTCTCGAACGTGCCGCCGCCTTTTCCCATCTTGACACCGGAGACCGACAAACACACAGAGCGAACAACCGAGAGAGACTCTTCCGCTTCCGTCACTCTGGACCGGAAGCGGCGGGGCGGGGATTCGCTAAGGAAGTGGAGTTACGACGTGGGGCCAATGAGGTGAGAAAACGGGGCGGTGACGAGCAACGGGGGTGGAGCTTGTGGTATCTGGGGGCGTGAAGCAAGAGCGGTGTGGGAGGGGCGTGGTATCCAGGGAGACGGCTGCGTGAGGGAAGGATGTGCTTGGTACTCGGGCCCTCCGGTGTGGGGAAGACTCTGCTCATGAAGAGGCTCCAGAATATCCTTTACCGGGGAATGGCGCCTTCTAGCTGACAACACAGAGAGGAGGAGCTCAGTGTGCGCTCACAATGTGTGTTGGCCAATCGGAACAATGAGGACCAACGCCACATCCCCCCACCCAGGGTTGGACCAGGGGCGGACTGACAACTCATGGGGCCCCCCGGGCAATAGGGGATCATGGGGCCCCTGTGTCCTTGCCCAAACTCAAAAAAGCCTATGAAAAAGGTGCCAGGGGCATCTCATGGGGCCCCCTACTGACCCCGGGCCCTTGGGCAGTGCCTGAGTTTCCAGATGGTCAGTCCGCCCCTGGGCTGGACTGACCATTTGGGAACACGGGCAGTAGGGGGCCCCATGAGATGCCCCTGGTACCTTTCATAGGCTTTTTTGGGTGTGGTTTGAGTGTGAGCGAGCACACAGGGGCCCCATGATCCCCTATTACCTGGGGGGGCCCCATGAGTTGTCAGTCCGCTACTGCGCCCCACCATTTGTTCCACTAATGCGGCGTGGAACATTGCATAGGAACCGCGCAGCCTTCCTGCGCAAATCACGTGCTATCTGTGTGGTGCGATTTGAGCCGTACATTTTAGATGCAGGACCCTTTCTTCCCTGCACTTGATTTGCATTGCAAATGTGCTACATATTCTGGGTATCAAACTGCGGTTTGCCGTTTCAAGGTGTTAATTTAACATGGACTCCTGTACCAGATCGCATGGACACCGGGCGATTGCAATGCGGTGCAGGAAACACAGGATTTGCTGCGTTTCTCGCGCCGCATTACACACCGGGTGCGATTTGTCATGCCATGCGAGTTGCAAATTGTATGGCAAGTCACACCCTATCAAAGCGGTCATATCGGTGCGATTCTGACTTGGTTGGAAGCGCACTGACTTCTAAAGTTATGCATGCACTACTTCAAGCAGAGTTCCACCCAAAAGGAAGTTCCGCTTTAAGCCTTTGTCCCCCGCTCCCCATTAAGGATTGGCACCTTTGGGGAGCGGAGGGGCGCAGGTACCCGAATTTGACAGGTACCCGCTGTGATGTCCTAGGCGATCGGAAGCTGTCCCCCCTCCCTCCCTGTAGTCTGGGACACGTGACAGGTCCCAGAAGACTACGGGGCCATTCACAATGTGTAGCACTTCTCGCGCATGCGCAGTTGGCACACTGCTGTGCAGCCGCAAGCTGTCACAGTCGGGTGCCCACACTGAAGATGACAGAGCCAGGGAGAGAAGACGGCCGGTGAAACCAGCCGTGGTGGGGACACCGAGGGACAGGTAAGTGTCTGTATTTTAAAAGTCAGCAGCTACAGTTTTTGTAGCTGCTGACTTTTTTTTCAGGTGGAATGCCTCTTTCAGGTGCGACTTGCGTGGACATGTAGGCAGATGTCTCCTCTCCTTTTCCATTTGCCCCCTGCAGCTCCTCTCCTTTTCCATTTGCCCCCTGCAACCCCTCTCCTTTTCACTTCAGCCCCTGCAGCTCATCTCCTTTTCCCTTCGGTCCCTGCAGCTCATCTCCTTTTCCCTTCGGTCCCTGCAGCTCATCTCCTTCTCCCTTCGGTCCCTGCAGCTCATCTCCTTTTCCCTTCGGCCCCTGCAACCCCTCTCCTTTTCCCTTCGGCCCCTGAAAACCCCTCTCCTTTTCCCTTCGGCCCCTGCAGCTCTTCTCCCTTTCCCTTCGGCCCCTGCAGCTCCTCTCCTTTTCCCTTCGGCCCCTGCAGCTCCTCTCCTTTTCCCTTCGGCCCCTGCAGCTGCTTTCCTTTTCCCTTCGGCCCCTGCAGCTCCTCTCCTTTTCCCTTCGGCCCCTGAAGCTCTTCTCTTCCATTCAGCCTACAACTCTTTCCCTTTGGACCCTGCAGCTTTCTCCTCTTTCCTTTGGCCCCTACAGCTCCTCTCTTCCTTCAGTTCCTTCCCTCCTCCTTTTGGCCCAAGCATCATCTCTTCTCAGCCCCTGCTGTTCCTCTCTACCTGCTTTCAGTCCCTGCAACTCTTCATTTTCTGTTCTGTTCCTGCACCTCCTCCTCACTTTGGCTCCTGCAGATTGTCTCCTCCTCTCATCAGCTCCTGCAGCTTCTCTCCTTTCCTTTCCGCCTTTGCATCTTCTCACCTCCTCCCATTGGCCCCTGCAGCTCCACATGCAAGCAGTTCCATGCATTCATATGCAGGCAGTCCCATCCATGTCAGTTTGGAAGCAGCGGCTGCACTGACACAGCCACTGCTTCCAAATTGACATTTGTGTGGGTGTGTGTCTGTGAACTCACAATTTCTGCGTTCAGGGACCTATACCCACACACATGTCAAATTGGGAACAGAGGCTGTGTCCGTGCAGCCGCTGATTTCCATTGACATGAATGGGACTGCCTGCACCGAACTGCTAAAGAAATGTGGGAAGGATTATAAAAGATGTATGAAAGAGCTAATCTCAGCAATAAACTGTATTTGATTAGAAAGATATACCAAACCAAGCTGATGGAAGGCCAGGATATGAAGGATTACATAAGACACACCTTGGTAATGGTTGAATGCCTGAAAGATATAGGAAAAGATATAAAAGATTTTCATGTTGCAGCGCTATTACTTGAAGGTTTACCAGAAAGTTAAGAAACTTGTCACAGCACTTGATGATGAACTGACACTGGAATATGTTGAGGGCAAGCTTGTGGATAAATAAAAGTATAAACCAGAAAGCATTAATAGTGATGGTGCTTCTGTTGTAGAGTCTGCTTTAAAGACAAAAAATAGGAATGAAAACAGTAACATGCAGCAAGAAACACGTGAATGCTTTGTAGGCCAGAAACAACGCCATTTGAAAGCAGATTACAGAATCTGGAAAGCTAGAATGCAAAAACAAACTAAACTAGAAAAGGCCAAAAGTGTGAAGGAAGCAACTGATTTTTCTTCAGATAATTCATGTTTTTCAATCCAAAAGATGCACCTCATTTTAGCAGGAATGATATGTTGACTCTGGAGCTAGGAGTCACATGACAAATTACAAAAATGTCTTTATTCATCTTGACCAGAGTAAAACAAAAAAATCACCACAGCTAATGGGCAAGTTTCAGAAGGAACAGGAGACGGTTTCTTTAGACCTCATGCACACTGGATATTTTTATAGCTGCAGTTTTTGGCTTTTGGCATTTTTGTTCTACAGCCAGTAAACCCCCCCCCCCCCCCCCAGCATGCTATCCTATGTGTCCATGCACACATAGGCTTTAATCAGCGTTTTTTTTGGCTGGAAAAAAAAAACAAACTAGTGGGTTTCTACAGGAGTTCTTTTAGCTGTAAGATGCTCTAACACTAGTAAACGTGGCATTTTTGGCCATTTTTTTAGCCAAAATGTTATTTTATTTAATTTTTTTTGTGTACAAAACGTAAACACTAAAGCAAAAACACTAAAAAAAGTGGAAAAACTCTCGTTTTTAATGTAACTTTATACTGCTAACACTACTGGCGTTTTTAAAACACCCAGTGTGCATGAGGACTTACTGTCATATTTTCCAGAGTGTCACCAGAAAAATACCTCTGAAAAATGGCCTGTATGTCCCTGCTCTTGAAACAAATCTTTTGTCAGTGAAGAAAATCTCAAAAGGCAATGTAGTGACTTTCCAAGGTGACAGTTGTGTCATCACAAAAGGGGATATCTTGCTAAGGCTGAAATTACATATGAAACTTCAGTGTATAAAAATTTCACAAACACAAATGCTTCAAAGTGAGGGAAATTCCACATCAGTGTCAAATGAAGACAAGCAACAACGTGTCACAGAAATAGAAATTAACACAGACAATCCAAATACTGTAAAAGAAGAAAGCAGGCCGCAAGAGGCTTCAGGCAAGGAATCCACCAGCAGCAATTTATCCCAGCCAAGCGTCTGTCCTATGTTGCTCGCCTAGCATTAAAACCAGAGCCAGATTCATGGGATGAGATGCAGATTTCCAACCCATGAAAAACAAAAGTGGGTCAGAGTTGCTGATGAAGCGGTGAACTGAAACATATAGAACTGAGATCCAAAATGGGACTAATATATTTGATTGGGGATGTTGGAATACTGTGTTCATGTATTTTGTGCAACAACTACATCGGTATTCAATGGAGAAATATTCTTCAACCAGTAGATGGTAGTGTTTATAAGTTTGTAGCTGTATCTATGGTGCTGTAAATTCTGTCTTTTCACTGCATAAACATTTTCCTGTTTACTGGTTGTAGGAAAGCAAGCAGATAAGCACGTGGGGACTGTGCACTTTCTGTTCTGTAGGGCTATATACAGAATCTCTAACTGGATTCAAACCAAGAATCCTAGTGCTAGCAGGCAGAAGTGCTAACCACTTAGCTACTGTGCTGTCCCTGAAGGCACAAAGCCAAAACTTGCACACTCTGACTCATTTAATTCCAGCCCTTTGTAAATTATATTGTTTATCTGCATAAGTGTAACGTCACACACTGCCCTGGACCGGCTTCCTGAGAATAAAAATGGTTGACTATGCCAGCATAATGTGTGTGGGTATGGATGCTTGTAGCCTCCACTGGGGAAAAAGCAACGGTGACAACGAAAGAACACAATTGTAGGCAGGGCTGGATTTTCCAGTAGGCACTGTGGGCATGTGCCTACAGGAGCCCTTCCTAGAGGGGCACACGTCTGTATGAGAGAGAGAGACCCACAGTGCAAGGGGCCCTCTGCGGACCCTAATGTAAAGAGG